GGTCGCCAGCAATATGAGTCGATTGTCGAGACCGCCGACCCCGATCTGAGACAGTTCAAGGCAGCCGGAGGCAAGATGGTGACTTTCCACGGTTTGGTACGCATGCATCACCAGGATCTTGTACCAAGCAATTAGCAAGCTAACATTCTGTCTGCAGGCTGACAACATCATCCCACCCGGTGGTACCGAAGACTACTACAAGGCAGTGAACGAGGTCATCCCTGATATCCAGGACTTCTACCGCTACTTCGAGGCTCCCGGCTTGGGCCACTGCTTCGGCGGTGTGAGCGGCACCCCCACTGGCCTCTTCGAGCAGCTTCGCAACTGGGTTGAGAACGGCACCGCGCCCGACCAGACGCCTATCCAGATCTCTGTCGGCAATGCGACGCACAACCGCATCCTTTGCCCGTACCCCGAGAAGTCGATCTTCAACGATGGCTGCGGGGATGCTTCCAAGGCCGAGTGCTGGTCTTGTTCCGAAAGTCCCGTCAAGTCCAACACCACCAAGAGGGCTGCACCAATGTTCCACGGGTTCTGATAGTGCCGTCTCAATACTGATGAGGGTTCTACTTGACAAGAATGTCCCCTTTTTCCGCTCAACGCAAGGTTTTTTTTCCATGAGACTTGCTGGCGCGATGAAATTTACTTTTCACTTCTTCTATGTACATTATATAAAATACATGCATACTTCCTAGTTTACAATGTTGAACTATTCGGTCGTCAATCCAGTCAACTTCGGTCGTCGTCTTTCCCTAACTTTCATGCTATGTACATTCTTTTGCCTTCCTTCAACATCTCATTCGGCCATTCCAGCCATTCTTTCCAGTAAGTCCCAAGATGATCTGAAGTTGCCCGAATAAGAAACTCTCCAGAACCGCCCACAGCCCAATAGTCTTTCGCCCAATGCAGCAGAACAGCATAATAAGACAACAAGACTAGAGCTTCTGGACGTCTTTGTTGAAGGAGTCTGATGTACTCCTGTGACACTCGAACAGGCCATTCCTGAATCACGATGAGCCTGCGACTTTCATCCGAACGTACAGAATCGAAGAGATACTGCAGAATCTTAACAACGTCTATGTAAACACCCCTCGTTTGTTCATTCATCTCATTTTCATTCAGCCGCTGGAGCAAGCTATCACACTCGTTGCCGTGAAGGACTTGTGTGCCATTCTCCATAGAATATGCCGGATTGTGGGGAAGGACCTTCTGGATGTGACCATGGAACTTTCCCATGGCTTCCGCGACAATGCCACGAATTCCATGATGAAGCGTCAGACACTGAACGAGCTTGTCGAGCACGGTAGGTATCGAGGTTGCTGCGGCGAAGGCTTCGAACAAGGTCTGTTGACCAAGTAGGAGGCTGAAACAGAAGAGCGCCATGACGTTGTCTTCGTTTACTTGCAACCCGCCGATATCCAGATGCCCTATGGCTCTCGTTTGGAGACCGGTCGCTTGGGTGAGGTACAACGCCGCTGTTTCTTCGTCATTGGCCACTGTGCTCCTGTAGGCGGCGGTGAAGGCCAAGACCTGGTCCATCAAATACGGCGCCTTCAACGCTTCAGAATACGTCAGACGCATCATTGGGCCCATTTCGGACTGCAGGGAGACGAGGAAATCTGTGAGAGCCCCCCTAAAGAAGAGGAGTAGATCGAAGTGGAACAAGCTGAAGCGTTCGGAGAAGAAGTCATCTGACAACTCTGATATATGCAATGACGTAGTCGCGCCATGAGGATCTGGTACTGCTGAGGGCAGTTGTAACTGACGACTGGAGGAAACTGAGGATTGCGGGCTCAGAGCTTGAGGAGTGGACAAATGTGCCGGTGTTTGGGCTGGTGGCGTTGGGAGACTGCTGACCAGCTCTCGGTAAGAGCAATTTCTTCCCGCGGTCTTGCATCTAATACAAATCGGCCGAGACTCATCGCATTTGACCTTTCGTTCTTTGCATTCTTTGCATCCGAGGCGGGACTTTCTATGCTTTGGCATTGTGGATATAAGACAGGCTCGGGTCTGAATAAAGCGAACGTTCGGACTACGATGCTCTGTGATTATGGAATCCGGGAGCGAGTGAATAGCCAACTGGGAAAAAACAGACAGAGAAAAAAGTTTAGTGAATTGCGTTTCCGAGCGTCAGATCGGAAAGTGAAGAGTATGTATGGGCGAGATGGGCACTGGAGACATAAGAGGTGAGGCGAAGAGGGCTTGATATCGGGTATGGCATCGTATTGGCGTATTAGTTCCGAGGTGTGAGGCTGAGGCCAATCGCATTCATCTCTGTCCGACAGGTTATCCACATCGAATTGGCCGCTAGTCAGCTTTGTGCTTTGGATCCCTCCAAGCTTAACCGCAGACGGCGCGACTTGTGTCGGGTTATTATGAAAGTGGTAGAAGTGATCTCCTGGGACTGAGTACTTATGAGATGCAAGCCTCAGGGGTAATTCTGAGCTGCATCGAAGGCATACTCACGTTGAGTTTTCTGCTCTTTGTGAGAATTGAATCATTTGAAGTAAGTGAGTGAGGGAGAGGCAATAAGAGTGAAATGAGAATGAGATGCTTTTAATCTGTGCATGGCCAGGTATCTCTAGGCCTATCCAGGACTAGCGTGATCAAGATACCCCACCTACCAGTGTTCAGCCCCGCCTCTCCGCGCCGCGTCCCGCAGCCTTGCAGCTCGCAGGAAAATTTCTTGACAAGAGCTTCTGCTGTAGGCGGGCGCAAAAACTCCACCTGGATTGTACGGACGATGAGAACGTCCGCCACCTCAATTCGAACATGGCGACCGACGATGCTCCTCAACCGGCCGGCGGTGCTCCCGCGAGGCAACCTGCCGACCTCCCGACTGGCGACAAGCCGTCAATTTCATCAGAGTCCCGCGCAGATGGCTCAGCCCAGCCCGGTGCTGCAGTGGAAAAATCACAGGAGGGCCGACGCGGCGACAGGCGCGACGACAACAGGCGAGGCGGCAAGTCGCGCGGACCGAAGCGGAAGCACGACGTCGGCCGGTCGGCGTGGAGGTAAGCTCTGCCCTTGTCAATTGACTTGTTATTTGTGTTTGCAACTGGCGCCAATGATGTCTAACCAGGGAATAGCCGTGAGGCCACTGACAAGCGCGGACGCAATGCCGAGTACCAAGAATTCAAGCGCAGAAAGGTAGACAAGGACGGCAACCCTGAGACCACCGAAAACCCTTTCACCGCCGAAGAGATCGCCGCCGAGGGTCGCAAGCCGAAGCGAAAGGTGGCCGTCATGGTCGGATACTCAGGCACGGGCTACAAGGGCATGCAGATCAACAATGAGGAAAAGACAATCGAGGGAGACTTGTTCAAAGCCTTTGTTGCTGCTGGGGCCATCTCAAAGGCCAATGCCGATGACCACAAGAAGTCGAGTCTTGTCCGATGCGCGAGAACCGACAAAGGCGTCCACGCTGCTGGTAACGTCATCAGCTTGAAGCTCATTATCGAAGACGAGGACATTGTCGAGAAAATCAACGCTGCTCTCCCCGACCAGATCCGTGTCTGGGGTATCCAGCGTACCAACAACTCCTTCAGCTGCTACCAAACCTGCGACTCGAGATGGTACGAGTACCTCATGCCGACATACTGCCTACTGCCCCCTCATCCCGACAGCTGGCTGTGGAAGCAGCTGGTTGAGGCCGCGAAGGAGAAGGGCTACTACGAGGAGTTCTCAAAGAAGCTGGCCGATGTCGAGGGATACTGGAGAAAGGTTGACGAGGAGGACATCAAGCCGATCCTCGACAAGCTCGATCCCGAGACCAAGGCCAAGGTGATGGAGCGAATCCATGCCGACGAGGATGCGACCGCACAGGCAGACGAGGCCAAGTCCGCCCCCGAGACGAAGACTGAGGAGACACCAGCCGAGCCCGCCACCACCGAGGAGAACAAGGCCCCCGCAGAGGTCCCCGAAGGAAGCGTCAAGCCCAGAAACCGCGACCTCACCCCCCTTGACTTTGCCCTGCGTGACATCAAGGCCGCTTACATTGCAGCCAAGAGACGTTACCGTGTTACCCCCGAGCGCCTCGCTCAGCTTCAGGAGGCCCTCAACATGTACTGCGGCACAATCAACTTCCACAACTACACCGTCCAGAAGAGCTTCAAGGACCCGTCAGCCAAGCGCCACATCAAGTCCTTCAAGGTCAACATGCAGCCGATTCAGATTCGCGACACCGAGTGGGTCTCCACCAAGGTCCACGGACAAAGTTTCATGATGCACCAGATCCGCAAAATGGTCGGCATGGCTTCCCTCGTCGTCCGTTGCGCCACCCCACTGGAGCGCATCAAGGAGAGTTACGGTCCCACGAGGATCGCGATTCCCAAGGCTCCTGGTCTGGGTCTTCTTTTGGAGCGACCCGTGTTCGATGCCTACAACAAGCGGGCGGCGGACAACTTTGGCAAGGAGACGATCGACTTTACGAAGTACGACGAGAAATTGCAGGCCTTCAAGGATAAGCAGATCTACCAGCGCATCTTTGAGGTTGAAGAGCAGGAGAACACGTATGGGATACCCTATCCTTTCTATTTAATACATTTACTGATCATGTCTCCAGCTTCCACATCTTCTTCCAGCAGGTAGATAACTTCAAGTCCGACTATTTCCTGTGGCTCACGGCTGGCGGCATCGAGGCTGGAGGGGTTCGAACCGGAAAGGAGGAGAAGGGAAGCAAGACCCTCGAGTCGGCGCTTGGTGACGAAGACGAGAACCCTGTCAACGGTGACGGTTAAGTCAGCCAGATCTGGCGACAGAGTTGCTGGATGTGGAGGATCAGGGTTGACAGCGCAGCGGTGACTGCTCATAAAAATGATACGATAGAATCAAAAAAGCATAAAATTCCCTTTTCCGTCCTCTGTATACGGGTATCAGCGTTGCGTGTTCAGAGATACGTCGTCCTCATCTCGAGAACCCCAAGCCCAAACGCCAAAGCATGCAATCCTAGTTTTTGCCATTCTCCCTCCGACTTCTCAAGTCAATCCACGAATCCGTACCTACGCAGCACCACCAGCTCCATTCGGAGCCGTCGGAGCAGCAGGTGGGGGAGCAGCACCAGCAGCAGCCGCAGCAGCACCCTCTCCAGCTGCACCATCCGCGCGACCCATCGGCACCCATTTGCCCCCTGCCGCGGCTGCAAGACCAGCGAACCGCGTCTCCTGGATGGCGTTAAGGAGCTCCGCGCACCGGACCACGTCGGCCTGAAGCTTGTCTGCCTGAATGCGAGCGTCGCCTTCTCCCTGTCCTAGCTTGCCGAACAGCCAGAGCTCTTTGAGGCGGCGGCTGAGTGCGAGGAGGTCTTTGATTGATGCGTGCTGCGGTCTCATGGTCAGCCGGGTGTTGTGTTCATTCTCCAAGGTGGAAGGTGGGCGCAATTGGCAGTGTGCGTCTGGATTTCAGGAGAATTTGGGGATAGAGTGGTCAGTGGTGGCATACCAGTCCTTCAAATTCCATTTGCATCGACATGCCCGTCACAGCGACCGTCTGCGGCTCAACGTTCTTACGCTCTCCTTCAGCTTGGATCGTCGCGAGCATTGTGAGCATCCGGAAGCGGGAGAGGACGTCGGCAATGAGCCGATTATGCGTGTCCAGCAGATTCGATGAGTCTCGTGAGGTGTCCATGGTGCCGGATTTTTATGGTGTCGATACTTGCAAGAGGGAGTTTGTGAGGATGGCGGCGTTGGAGGTGAGGTGAGAGGTCAGAGCTCCTGCTGAATCTTGAATTCCTGGTGGGGCGGTTTGGTGGGGGTTCCTCGGTGTACTGTGACCTCTAGGGCCTTACCGAGTCTTTAGACCGAAACCGTCGGTGAGCGGCAAAAAGCACTCTTGATCGCATGAAAAGGAGCCAGCAATCAGTATGTACGCTGAAACAGTTGAATAAACATAAAATACAATCTCACTGTTGAAGTATTCAATGATAGTTGAAGAAATCGATCTAACCCTAAGTCAAAGGAGCCGTTCCAAACAGTGAGCTTTGGCTGCCGCCAACGTTCTTTGTCGAACAACACTTTGTATGTTAACCAGGGCTGCCGGGTCAAGTTCACGGCCTGTGGCATCATTTCCTTGACGTATTCCAGAGGTCTTCATCCCCCGAGTGACTGATTATAAAGTGTGTGTGTTCTCAGGCCGGAATTTCTTCTCATCAACTCATTTCCCACCTATATTCCAAGCTCGACTTAGATAGAACACTTTAAGCTGAAAGCAAATCATTCAAGTGGGCAACATTACCTTCCAACACTCCAACAACCCAACATGACTACTTATACCATCAACCCCAACGGTCTGTTCCCAGACTCATATGTCCTCGGGGGCATGCCTGAGCTCGGCGAGGATACCGACGATACCAAGGTCCAGGTACAAGTCCTTCAGAATAACATGATCTTTTGCGCCTTCCTGTTGAATTTCAAAGAAAGTCAACCTCCACCTGGGATTCCCCGCCAGTTGTTTGTACGGATCCAAAAGTACGAAAAGAATGAATCTCCCCTGGCAACTGCTGCAATCACGAACCTAGCCCGAACCGTCCTTCCTTCGCTGGTTCCGAAGGTCTGGGGTTCTGGATATAGTTGGATGAAAGACGGTACGAAGGTTTCCTATGTCCTTTCTCAATGGTACCCGGATTCCTGTCCACTGGAAACAGTGTGGGATGACTTGGACGTCGAAAATCGAGGAGAAATTGTCGGAGATTTATTCAAGGCAGTGTCCAAGTTGTGCAGCCTCTCCTTGCAGAAGCTGACATTCGAGCAATGGCAATTACTCCGGAACACCCCATTCGAGACAAAGAACACGGAGCTCTCCATCCTAGTCGGCGGTCCGCCTTACGGATATCATACCGACTTTGCTTCCCTAATGCGCCGTAACCTCTGCCCCCGAAACGCCGATTGCGCGGTGAACGGAAGGACTGATGGGACTTTGGTCGTGAGTGTGCATGCGCCCGAAGCGGAACACTTCGGGTTCACTGAAACAGACTTGGATCTGCTAACTCAAAGCTCAGTCTTGTGCCACAACGACTTGGAGCCCCACAACCTACTTGTTAAGAAGGTCTATACCGAGCGCGGTGATGAGTACAGGCTTGTGGCCATACTCAACTGGGATCAAGCAGGCTTCGTTCCCTTTGCCTTTGAGATTGCTCGAAAAGATCTACATCTGGGCTTGCGGAACTTCAACTGGAGCTGGTACGATATGTATCGGCAACTTGCTGGCCATCAACTTTTCGACACTCCAGGTCGTCCGATTTGGTCAAAGCTGATCCGGTGCCTGATGGCTGTTCATTCTTCCTCCCAGGCTAAGATTACTGAGATATCTACTTCGGACGGCACGGCGCAGATGTTGTGGCTGGAGAATGAAGGTCTCACGTTCTCTACTCTTGTTGAAGAAGGGTGGGTGAAGCTGCGCTCTTTTGTCAAATTCCCGTCCGATGACGAGCAGGATATTTGGGATCCTTAGGAGTGCCATAGCTCACCTGGCGAGATTGTGGGGCTATTACATGTGCCTTATAAGAACACAACCTCAAAATATAAATGCATTTGATCTTGATTGAAATGTGAATGCTTTCTTTCTCAACATGTTACCAGAAGATAATGTGGAACTAACAGAACCGCGGAAGTTTGGTCCCAGTGACTGATGTGGCTGCATGAGTGTCGCTATGGTCAGAACGAAGAATCCATCAGAGCATCTAAATAGTCACTAAATATTCTTGGATGATTTTATAAGAGGCCTGTGAATCTAAACTTCAACTGAAATTGAGGTATCTGAGTTTCCATACTGGAGTCGAGCATATATGCTCAAGGGGCAGCGGAGAGCCGGGCGGAGGGTCGGAGGGTCGGACCTTAAGTCCATAGCCGCTCCGGGATTAGCGCTTACATGTACACTTCCTGCATTTACAAAGCTGCGAAAACAACCGAAATGACCCGTGACTTCATCACTACTCCTAAAGATCAACAACTCATCTGCTAAAATCTGCGAATTTCGTAGTTCAGTTCCAAACTTTCAACTCCAATTGTTTGCAGTCTCCCAGAACGCGAATATGGCATATCCTGCGTTAGCTGCCAGACCTCGTCCTCCGGGTACACCGACGAATGTCTCATCTCAACCTCAACCTAGTGCCAGTCGACGCCGAGATAAACCTCAACTTTCCTGCAATAGTTGTCGACGCCGCAAGTAAGTCTGAATCTTTATTTACCATTTAGGCTGCCCCAGGATTCTAACACACTGCTTAGGATTAGATGTGATCGTCAACGTCCCTGTAGAACCTGCTCCTCTAGGGGCCAGGATTGTGTCTATCCAGAAACCAACGACACTATCCCACCTCCAAAGGTCACATCTAGTGGCGCTCCCAATATAAGTCTGCAAGATCGTCTAGTCCACCTCGAGCAATTGGTTACAATGTTGGGGTCATCGGAAAACCGAACAAGTCAGATCGGTACGCCTGCAAACATACCTACGCCAATTGACGATCGCTCAGAGACGGGGAGTATGCGGTCAAGCGCTATGGAACACCAGTATGTCGGCAGTGAACACTGGTCGGCGATCATGGAGAGTATTGCCGATTTGAAAGACCACTTCGATCGAGAGGAACAGTCCAAGCTGGCAGAAAGTCCAACAGCAGATTACTGCTTTGAAGACCCAAGCTCTTTCACCCAACGTCGAAGGTGGCAGCGCCCCTTGCTTTTGTACGGATGCCGACCTGCAGCTTCAAGGTCAGAAATCCTGTCCACCCTGCCGCCGAAAAACGCAGTAGACCGCTATATATCTCGATATTTCAACCGTCTAGACCTCGTCTCTTCATGTATGTCTTTTCGCGCCTTGTCTCGGCCGATTGCTTGGATTTGAGAGTATCCCTTACTAATGCACAGCAGCGTCCGTCCATGGCCCAACGTTTCTCAAAGAGGTAAGTGTAATTTCTCTACATTTTGCCAGGTCGATTGACTGATAGCGGCATGGGCGATAGTACGAACAATTCTGGCGCGATCCCAACGACACTTCCACAATGTGGATCGGTCTTCTTTTCAGCATGATTTGCTTAGCTGTCATCGCATCAGACCCTTCCACTGACGTATCTGAAGATGGCCACCAACAGCTGCAAATAGAACTGTACCGAGAGAAACTGGTACAATGTCTGCTGATGGGAGAGTATACTCAAGGTGGCGACTATGCGCTAGAGACTTTCATGAATTACGTCTACGTTGAATTCAGGATACATGACGACGCGCAGAGGGATGTTTGGTTCTTGCTTGGCCTCGAAGTCAACCTAGCCAAACGAATGGGGTACCACAGAGATCCCAAACACTTCCCGGAAATCACCCCGCTAAAGGCAGAGATGAGGCGCCGAGTATGGGCAACCGTACTACTGGGAGACATCTTGATCTCAGGTCAGATGGGAATGCCCCGCATGGTACGAGATGGCGAGTTCGACACAGCCGAGCCACGAAATTTAAACGATGAAGACCTGCACGGAGAAATGACAAGTCTACCACCGCCAAGGCCAGAGACAGAGCATACAACAGCCCTGGGGATCATTGCTCGAAGGAGACTTCTGATCGCTCTAGGGACCATCTCCGACCTTGCAGCATCCCTCAGCCCAAGTAGTTACGCGGACATAATGCGACTTGACGGGATTCTTGAGCAGGCATACAGCAGCATCCCTCTACCACTCCGCATGAAGTCTATGGCCTCTAGCGTGACCGACTCCCCCCAAGTAATCATGGCCCGCCTTTTCCTTCGCCACATGTTTTGCGAGGGAAAAGTCATGTTGCATCGCCGGTTCCTCTTCGCAAAATCGACTATAGAGCATGATGACGCGTACTCATACTCAAGGACAGCTTGTCTTGATGCAGCTCTTGGAATGCTACAGATCCAACAAACTTTAGACGAAGAAACGTGCCCCGGCGGCCAGCTCTTCATGATGCACTGGAGGGTAGGATCTATCATGAACCACCACTTCTTGACAGCCACCATGGTCCTCTGTTCGCTGGTTTACCAAAGGCAAACTTTGGGCCGGGAGAACGAGATATTGACTGCGTTGAGGACTGCTCGCAGCATCTGGATGAGAAAGGCCGAAGACTCAGTTGAAGCGAAGAAGGCATCACAAGCAGTTAGCATCGTCCTTGCGCGAGCTGGAGGTCCGAGGTTCGATGCTACCCTTGTAGCTGACTGGCCTATCCAACTGCTTTCAGAGCCTATTGCAAATTCGAAAGATGCTTTTCTGGAAGGTCTTGTTGGAGATCAAGTCATGCTTGATGAGCAAATATTCTTGACCGAGGCTTTCATGTCAGATGAAAGGGATAACGGTGAGTACGAACTTGAGACATAAATAAAGGTTGAACATTGGAATGGCTGATGGTTTTCACATGCAGGCATGGATCTTTTCTCGCCTTTCAATCGCCTTCCCGACGAGCTACCAACGGGTACGCTCTGCAGCAAACAATCTGGAGGACCAGCAAGTCATGGGGACTCAACTATAAGTGAGTGAGTGATTATGGGTGATCAAGGACAGTATCAGTGAAGTATTATCAATTTTGCATCAAATCTTGGTTCACAGTAAAGTCAATGGTCAAACGTGCAATTTCAGATGCGGAACTGTAGCTATAGAAGCCGAGGTTTCTCTTTGATATGATAATTGGGATCAGACCGTTTGCGATCTCTCCATCATTCTTCTGTTTGCCATTCATCCCCATTCTGACTACCCCGGTGTCCTTAGAGATATCTGGACATCTCAGCGTCTTTATTTCGAGGAGTCGTCTGCTTCACATAACAGTGCAGAAGGCACACAGCGCTCCAGGGTAGCATCCATCGGCAGGCCTGATACTCTGTCAGATTCGTCTGCTATAGATATCTAATGATTCTGAATACTTACCAAACACCACAGCAAAAGCCATCGTGGTCGATGCAGCCTCCACGCAGATGCATTTGCTCTTGAGTTAGGTCAGATTGCTGTTCTGCCGGAGCGCCAGGGGAAGAGGCAGGTTGAGTATCCTGCGGAGCAGGTTCTTGTTCGTTCTCGCCCGCCATTGAGTATGCAGGTATTGATTGTGATGCAATGTGCGCAGAAATACCTTGTAGCCTAAGGTAGATATTTGTGTTATTGAGACTTTCCGCAATTGAGAGACAGACGAGAGGGCAATACTACGGGAAGGTAAGCCCTTTGAGGCTTTATTGACGTGACGTTCCGAATTGAGGTTTTTGGTGAATAAGAAGTGACTGCTGACGTGAATGGTGACATGCATCAGCAGACTGTGAATACATTCACTGTCGAGACGGGAGGAAAGGGACAATATATTCCCGGTGATGCAGATGTTTTGGAAGGCCTGCCTCCAGAGGCAGTAACAATACTTTCTGCGGTACTTTCCCTTACTTAAAAAGATTGATCAACTCCTTCCTCTCCTGTTCTCATACCTTGGTCACATGGTGTTCTCATTTAGGCCAAGTTCAGAGGAGGAAGGAAGCAACGCCCATAGGTTTTAGGCAGGAAGGATCGGTCAAGTCATTAAAGAATGGAAGGCATAAGGGGTTTCAGTCAATATAGGCAGGGCCTCACAGTAGGTATGAATGGAAGGAGTACCAGAGGTCTTGTCATGAGAGAAAAAGAAAAGAAGACAATCTTGAGCTCAAAGAAAGATGATCGTGGTTTCTCAGCACAATCCAAATCACAAGATGAAGCGTGATATACCTAGGCGCCTGAATATGTAGAAGGTGACAAGTCATGGCCTCCGGCTAGAATATAACTCAATGTTTCATGGTGAAATTTTGTCACGCCTTAGGTATGAAGACTTAGGCAACATATCGATTAGATCTTGCCGCGTTTAATTGAATTTAAGTCATTTGTCAAGAACAATTGATGGGTAGGCATACTTCACAGCAAACTTGGCTCACTGGTCGGGAATAGCGGGGCGGGGGCTGTGTTCCAGATCGCTAATCCTTCGATGGTCAGCTGACAGGCGCGCGCCGCACCGATCAAGCGAGAGGCACCCGACGGTGTAACAAGTTACGGAATCTTTGATGGTTGCCTATATAACTGATGTACTTAGGATATATCTAGCAGGCAACATTTCCTATCGACCTTACCCCTATCTAAGCGCGCCCAAGCTAGCTATTCCTGCTAGCAACGCCAGCCATCCAGATATCAACATAAACCACCTGGCTCAGGCTCAAGCATGTCAACTGCAACAGATCAGCAAAATCTGCCACAGGAAGGTGCACGCTACCCGACCAGGTATCGCCGCAACATTCCTAGGTCAAAGAATGGCTGTTTGACATGCCGCGCTAAACGGAAGAAGTGTGACGAACGCAGACCATGTTGCACGTCATGTGCCCGCACCGGACGGGAATGCACATGGCCTGTCTCTGCAGAAGATATCGTCAATAAGAGTACCAGAGACATCCTTCCAAAACAAATACCGTCAACAAATGAAACCTCGGAGAGCAATGGATCTTCCCAGCAGCATACGACGCTACCTAGTCGACCTAGAGCAACCGTTCTGACGACGGCATCTATCCCGGAAGTGCTTGAGAACACATCATCTCTGCGCGCATCTCTCACATTTGGGACTCTTTCAAACTTAAGCAGCAGTTCAAGGCCGCTGTATGATCAATACCTCGATATGACCGCGGAGCTACTAGCTCGTGGTCCTAGCGCAGATGGTAACCCGTTTATCAACTATGTGTTGCCTCTAGCAGCTTCCGATAGTCTTGTGATGGACTGCGTTCTCGCTATCGGAGGAGCACATATGGCCGTTCTAGAGCCTGACCGCCCGCAGTTGGAAGTCATGACTCGAAGGCATTATGCCCGGCTGCTTGAAGGACTACGAAAAGCGCTTTGTGACGATGCGGCGTGTCCATTTGGCGAACGCGATGAGGACAAGAAGCTCTACACGCTTCTGATTCTCATCATGCTATGCATTTTCGAAGTAAGTCATTTGTCTATTTCTCTTGTCAGCATGTTGCATCCGACTAACCTTGTGCAGGGGGTTCAAGGCGATAACTCGGGGGCCGTCTATCATCATATTCGAGCTAGCCGTCATTACGTGATGGAATTGGCAGCTGACACCTACAAGCCATCAGCTTCAAAGAAGACTGAGCATATCCGTGGCTTTCTCCTGGAGATATATGCCATGTTCGCTCTAAAGTTAGCAGTCACGCCACGAGGCTTGCAGGAGGAGAACCCCGTGACAGTGGATCCTTTTCTCGGCTCTCTAGAATTTCTGGGCCAATTCAAGTCGCGAGGATTCATGCTAGGTTTTGGCCATGGGCTCTTTGCCATGATACCAGATATCTCAAATCTTCTTGAGAAGCGTAGGAGAGAGGAACTGAGTGGGTCCACATCCGATGGTCTGTTCGAATCTTACAAGTCACTTCTGAAGAAGCTAGACTCATTGGATCCCTCATCCGACGTTCTTGAAGACGAAGGCGCATGCCCTCGCTACCAACAATCAACAGCCGTCGCCATCTACCGCACCGCTCTAATTCTCATCGTTCATTCTGCCTTCCACCAAGATACACATCAGAACGCGGAACTCCTTGCTGAGATCGAATCTCGGATAGACAAGATATTGCCTCTCTGTTGGGCCGTTTATACCAGCAAGTCACCGCTGCGGAGGATGATGCTGTGGCCGGGGTCGATTTTGGCATCCTGTTGTAAGAAGCCAGAGCACGTCCACGCTTTTCGATTGGGACTAAACTCGAATCCGCGATCGCCAGGTGGTGTCCGAGAAGCGGCTAAAGCGGTTGAACTGTTGTGGCAAGATGATGATCCGAGAGCTTATGGACCTCGAGGGTTGAACATGGTGATGAAGAAACACGGTCTTAGCTTTAGCATGTGCTGAACGGACTGATTAGTAATCTGGGTAAATGGGATTCTTCTGGTTAGTAAGTTCATATGTTCTGTAAATATAGAGAGCTGCATTCAGGTACGCAAGTTCTCCGGCCTCCAAAGCATACCTAAGTAGGTGGCTTACAGATCAGTCGTCCATAAGTACATGAGTTCGTCTGAAGAAGTCTATAAGCATTATTCATAATCATTGTCTGCTGACTAAGAACAGGTATCGCAAGTCATAAAGGTATCGACGAAAGGCATCCCATCCACCACCCGTACTCCAAGTTTAGCATCCACCGCCTCCACCGCCGCCCCCATCACCACCGCCTCCACCTCCGCCACCTCCACCACCTCCATCGCAACCACCCCCTCCCCCATGGTGACCGCCTCCCCCATGGTGACCACCTCCTCCGTGGTGTCCTCCACCGCCGCTATCACCGCCCCAGCCGAAGCCCCCAGCACTCACTCCCGTGTAGCCCGCGTTATAATCTCTGTGGTTTCCGTGCATGCGGCTTCTGCGCCAGCCACCGCTGGAATCATTGACGTAGCCCGGCATGGCACCGTAATTCGGTGTACCGCCCATGGCTGGTCTTGGTGCGTACTCGGAGCCGCTATACGTGTGCTTCTTTGATCGAAATGGGATACACATCTTGAGCGTCAAGAATCCAGGTACCGAGAATCGTATGGAATTTGTTTGTAGTAGGTTGACCTTGACCAGTCCTTTTTGAAGAGGACTGTTGTATTTGAGGGTTTGGTATGAGTGCTTATTTTGTGTTCCCTTTGAGGTGGATGGAACGGTATGTCTATGTGATGAGATTGATATTGATGACGATGCAGATGTAGGAACATAGTAGATGGAAGGGACTGATGGCTTAAGTAGAATATCGAGTGATGGTAGAGAAAGTAAGGCCAAGTTTCCTGCCTATCCTACCTGTGTGCCTGCTAGGGGCGAAGAAACAAGCTTCGATGGAAGCCACGATCACCGGGAAGTCTGCCTTCCAGAAGGCTTCTAGCGGCGCGAAGGATCATGGAATATCCAGGATGAGCTCATAAAACTCCGAATAAGCGAATCGCAGGGTCCTGAAAGCTGTCACCTAAATCAGCCTTGCAATGAGCGACTTTCTGCCGCCCTGGGGACTTACGCAAAAGGGTAAGACGATGTACACTGATTTCAATCATCTGACCGGAGGGAGTGGATTCACGGGGCTGTTCCGCGTTGTGGGGCTCTTGCAGATTCCTGGAGGCAGGGAGCGGGGACGAGCTAGCCGGGGCGGGGCCGGATCGGCGTCGTTGGCGAATGACGTAGCTCTACTGGCATAGCCGGGCACCGGGGCGCAGCGCACACAGCCTATGTACTGTGTATGCATTCAGCCCGCGATGATCAGCCGCACTCTCAGACCAACTACGTCATGCTTGGATCTGTCAAGCGATCAGTAGGGCCACGTGAGGGTGAGATGACTTGTCTTGCTGTAAGACTCAAAGCTTCCCGCGGCCCGCTTTGCAGGCTGCAGGATTGAAGATATCACTGGAGGCTGGCTTATCATACACCGACGTTGAGATGTATGAGTGGTTTTGTTCAATTTGTTCTTGTAGAAATAAGCGTTGCTAATAATATGGCTTGAATGTTGGACGGCCTCTCACTCTGCTGCTTCTACTGACTTTCTTGCTCGCGACATGATCCACCCAACAGTCACTAGATAGGAACACCGTCCCGGTCCCTCTCTATCCTTGGATTTTTAGGCGTATTTGAATCGGACGAGACCTTGTCTTTGATTGACTGGACAATGCTCTCTGTGCGAGACGGACCCTCAACTTCGCGTCGCTGCTCTTTCTCGGCTCTGCGCTCAGCCTTTTTTGCTGCTTTGAAATCGGCGGGACCGGGCTCAAACGCAGGGCCGGGGCCTTTGTGTGTAGGCCGCCTGTTGGATGCTTCAATGCCAGCGGTGAGAGGAATGCCGGACATTTTGAGAGTGAAACTTCTAGTCGGCGCGGTTGAAGTTTGGACAATGCTATTGTACCTTCCGGTTGTGAAAACTTTGACTCCAGACTGGACTATGAAGCGTGATGCTGTTGTGAAGAAGATTCTTTTGCCCCGATGAATCGGTATTGAAGAGTTGTCGAAATGACAAAGTTTCTCGCCCGAAAAGGGATTATAAGATGGGGGCCTAGGTCAATTTGTGCAAAATCATTGAGAGACTCCGCGGTTGCTCTCCTGACTGGACTTTGGTGCTACGGTCTCACTGCCATGCGCAGCCAAGAACATCTACGTATCTGTATGACGCGAGTAGAGTCCCCTTGTACCAACTGGTGCATCACCTTGATCTATGTCTCGAATACTTTTTAGAATAGCCCTACATCAAAGGCTACCACCATTGGTCATGAATCTCAATCAAAATATGTTGTCTTGACACCCTTGATGACTTCTAGATCATTGACCGAATTGTCACCATTGGACTGACTCGTGGCACCGATGTTCTTGATTATCCTCTCCCTCACCCACTCTCCTGCCTTCACAGGCTTACCGTCACTTCCAAGTATCGCGCCCTCAGAGAGGCCAAGCTTCTGTAGAACGGGAGACTCCTTAATCGGGACCAGGTCCGTATCATCTTCTATGCGAACCATGTAAATAACCCCCAGACGATCGATATGTGCTTGGTCTTTCGGAGGCGCTACGACTCTGTGGATGCTTGACTTAAGGTACCCGTCTATGGAGGTGTCAATGACCACGCGTTTAGAAGGCATCGAAAACAGGTCAACTTACTTGTGAGGAATTGCAGCGCATCAGCAATGTTCACCGTCAGCGCGTCCGTTTGCGGGCGCACCCACTTCCAGGTCCCGTCGTTCGTGAGGACCTGGAGCGCAGCGACAGGTTGCCGAAAGAGCAATGTCAGACTACCCATATCTGAGTGTCTTCAATCTCTTTGTTAGTATTGGGCACATGCCATTGGGGCGGACAGAAAGCATTTCTTCCAGGAGACATTCATACCCCTTCAGCCAAACACCACCCAGCTTTCGATTCTCCTCATCGGTTCTCGCGTAATACTTCATGTATCGGAGATGGTCGCCGCTAGACTTCTCGTAACGATGCTTCTTGACGAACCACTCCTCGTCCTCAAGACCAAGTGCCAGCGCAAATATGATGAGAAGCTTCCGGATAATCTCGTCGTTGACGTATCGGGAGAACTGCTCGATTGACGCGAAGTTCTCTGTGACTACATCGGGGTGCGGTCGTGACGCATGCTCCGAGATGAACTTTGGGATGTTGTAAATCTCGAAGTTGTCCCGGACGCCTGGGATCAGCTCTCTGGTGCCTGGGGGCTTCCAACCATTGAAATCGCCGGCCTCAAGTGCTGCTCTGTATGGTGCCTTGTCTTCATCCGACAGACTGAGAACGGACGAGGCCAGAGCATACTGCTGATCGATGGCTTCCCGACTGAGACCATGGTTGATGACGTAAAAGAAGCCTTAAAAGTGGGATTTCAGCTTTAACTGTCTAATGACTTTGATGATGAAACAGTAATGCATGCGTTGTGATCGTACCTATCTGTTCAATCGCTCTCGTGAATTCTTCTGCAAGCTCCTCTTTACCCCCGGACTTGTCAAATTTGGATAGGTCCAAGGCCACCAGATCTGCCCAATCTAGCTGCTCGCTTGTCTCGGTAGCTTGAATGTAAGGTACATGGACTGGAGCTGTCTTTGAGGTCGTGGTTGTCATCTTGAAGGGAGGACGAGGGAACTTGTAGTTACCTAGGGGCTCGCTACGCCGAGACTGGCAGGTCTCTTGCTTCTTATCTTAATAGCGCGTGAGGTTCAATTAACAGTAATACATGTAGCCCTTCTGCAGCAGACACCCCTTCTCTATTTCAATTTCGTGAACTGAGGATGGTTTCGTTGCCACGCCTTTGCGCTGCAAGGGTTTAGCCAAGGTATTGGTAATCCCATTGTCAAGTCTAGATTTTACCGAATGAGAATCTCGATCCTTTGAAAACAGAGGAAAGCCGATGTCGGGATATTACTATCGGACCACAGATACCGAGGCTTTTGGTTATATGTCCAAAGATGTGCCGTCTGGTCTTGAAGCTGGTCCCTGGCAGAGGATGCATCGCTGTGGGGCCGAAGTATTCGTCAGGAAGGATCCAGATGAGGCAATCTGCCAATGCTGTGTCGAGGCATTCTCGGGAATGGCGTGGACAGGCCAAGATTTTGAAGTCGCAAGGATTAGTCTGTTAGTCTTGACTGTTGTTTCTGCACGCGTTGACTGCCTGTACTCAGGAAACTCTCATCAAGGGTGGCCTCAAACAACCGAATGCCTCCAAACTATTGTCCTTCCCACAAGAATCGGCAATCATCAAAATGACAAACGATACCACTAGGGATAGCCGCCATACGGCCCTTGACGATGGATCATTCACAGTATCAGGAGCACATGACAAATATGCACCTAGTCAGGCAGTCAAACTGGAGACAATTGGCGAGGAAGCTCTTGCCATTGATCTTGTCATTGAGAGGAGGGTGCTCCAGAAAATCGATCTCTTCTTGATGCCAGCCATGGTCATAGGTAATTGCAGCAAAGTACCCAAAACTCTCAGTAACGGGTCGGGCGCGATGCTAACATGAAACGATGCGATCAAGGCTATGGTTTGGTTTACTATGATAAGGTGGGCACTTAAGCAGGCTCTTTGAACATTTGAACAAGACTCACAGCTGCGTATAGGCAATTCTTGGCAGTGCTGCGTTATTCGGAATGACTGGTGACCTGCATCTTTCAGTTGTCGATACCTCTTTCACCCCGCCAAAGACCGACACAACACGACTAAGTTGGGCAACTTCGATATTCTACTTCGGTCAGCTGATAGGTTCGTATCCAATGACGTATCTACTTCAACGCTTCAATACCAGATGGACACTTGGCCCCGTGGTCATGATTTGGGCAGTCATTTGTGCTGCGACAGCGGGAGTGACGACTTGGCAAGGTCTCCTGGTTCAAAGATTCTTCTTGGGTGAGGAGCCATAATCCCACGAGTTATTGGATAGCGATGGAGTTTGAGTAGAGACTGAAGTGACGCTCATCATGTGATATAGGTTTCACCGAGTCTGTCATTCCAACAGCTTTCATGACTACCGTCAGCGGCTATTACACCCAAAGAGAACAAGCACTCCGCCAGAGTTGGTGGTTTTCCGGAACTGGCTGGTTCACCATCATTGGAAGCGCTCTCAACTACGGATTTGCCCAAATACAAGGAGGCGCGTTGACTCCATGGCAGTACATCTATGTACTTGCTGGAGGCTTAACGTTCCTATTTGGTATTTGGTGTTTCTTCCTTCCCAACTCTCCCCTGACCGCCTGGTTTCTCACTCCGGAAGAGCGAGCTGTCGCAATTGAGAGATTGCGTCAGGGACAAACTGGAGTTAAGAATCAAACCATCAAGACTGCTCAGATCAAGGAAGCACTACTGGACGTCAAGGTCTGGCTAGTCGCCTTGACCATGGCCTCGGGGTAAGAGGAGTCCAAAATTTCCCCTCGAATGCGCAAACTAACTGGCTATCAGGTATACAGTCAACGGAGCTGTATCTGGGTTCGGTCCCCTCATCGTTTCGACATTCGGATACTCGGCTTTAGACAGCATTCTTTTTCAATTCCCGCTAGGTGCAATTTGCGCCATTGGTATCCCCGTCGCTGGATGGCTCTGCTCCAAATACCGCAATATCCGGATCCCAGTACTGATAGGATGCACTCTCCCAGTCATTGCGGGCTTTGTTATTATATGGAAGTCAGACTGGGGCCATCGTCCCATTGCCCCTGTTGTCGGATACTCACTTATTGGCTTCTTTGGGCCGGTCGTCAGCTTGACGGTCACCCTTGGGGCCAGCAATGTTGCAGGAGAAACCAAGAAGAGCTTCATGGCATCTGCCGTATTTGTCGCATATTGCGTTGGAAACATAGTTGGGCCTCAGCTTGTGAAGAGCGAGACTAAACCCCAACATTATCCTCAGCTATGGACGGGGTTGATTATTTGGTATGTCAAAAGCCGACCTAGGCAACATCTTTTCAACTCCTCTAACATCGGTTTCCTAGCTACTGCATCACTATTCTGTCTTCGTTGGGCCTCTATGTTATCCTCTATAGAGAAAACAGGAGACGGGATGCTCTCGGCCTAGACGAAAATGAGCGGGATAGACTCGCATTCAAGGACTTGACCGATAAGGAAAATGAGCACTTTAGATACGTTCTGTAGGAACTACATCCCGCCATTTACATATTCAAATATGACCTCCCAAGTATTTGTGGTTCCAATTGTCGGGGACTCTATTCCATCCCGTTCACTGCCGTCGTTGAGTGTACCTGTTTTGGAATGCCAGGTCTGATCAGTATAATTTTGGCTGTAGATCAATAATGACACATTATCTTAGTATGAGCCCCTCTTTCGCGATGGGAAAGGCTCCGTTGCATGTTCTTGTTCTGTCTGGACGAAACGAGTGACAACACGCGCATCCAGTCTACTTAGCGCAGGGACAAGTCCCGCGTTGCGTTTCCTTCAAGGGTTGTGATGCAATCACCGAAGGACTCCACCCTGACCAGTTATGTTGGTAAGCTACATGTTGATGGAGAGAGCTTATCACGACATCTCGGACTGTGTCCGACATGAGCTGATGCCGCAGCCGATATCGCCAATGGACGCTCGGGAATTAGCTCACTGTTCGATGAGACAGTTCGGATGGAACGAGACCGGCGTGGGATTGTTTCTTGCAAGCACCGCTGCGTATTGACAACGATTGCTCTCAACTAAGGTTAGCCTTCGTGAATCTTCAATTCAGCTTCTAGAAGTCCCGACGATTCAGGATGCCTGAGGAAATTCGGAGGGTCGCAGTCATTGGCGCCGGCCCGGCTGGAGCCATCGCAACGGACGCTTTGGTGAAGGAACAGGCGTTTGATGTTGTACGCGTCTTCGAACGGCGCGACTTGGCTGGAGGGACATGGTGAGTATATCCCTGAAGGCTATTATCCTCATATCAGTTGTGAATTGAATGAGATCTGACCTGTGTGTCTATACATGTAGGGTCTACACTCCGGAACTGCCACCCCGGATCCCTTCCTTGCGCGCATTAGTCAAACAACGCGCAAATGCGCCGATTGAAATCCCTCAAAGCTTCCCTACAGAAACTCCGAGATCCGAAAAGAACAACTCTCACCAATTACGGTATTCGGACACGGGTATTCATGAGACGCTGCACAGTAATATCACTCCCGAAATCATGGCGTTTACGCAGGAGCCGATACCTCAGGTCCTATCCGATCGAACATTGGCACAATATGGCCCGGGCGCTCCATTCAGACATCGAGAATTGATAAGAGAATGGGTCGAGGGAATTTTCACTCGAGGAGGGCACGATAAGTTGATTGAGTTCAGCACCACGGTTGAACTTGCAGAAAAAAGGGGTGACGAATGGGTCCTCACGTTGCGAAAGGTTGTACCCGGAAAGTCGAAGGACTACTGGTGGCAAGAAACTTTCGATGCAGTGGTTGTGGCATCAGGTCACTTTTACTTGCCTCATATCCCCGAAATCCCCGGTCTTGTCGAATTCAACGAGAAATTTGCAGGCAGAATCAAGCATAGCAAGCATTTCCGTGACCCGGAAGAGTTCCGAGGAAAAGTATGCCAGCATCCGTACATTTGATATATTGAGATCTGAGCTGACTATTCACAGAAAGTTATTGTTGTCGGCGGCTCCGTGTCTGCGTTTGATGCGCTCCACGATATTCGGCTGGTGTCTCAAAAGCCGGTCATTGCATCACTTAGAGAACCCCTGGCCGCATTCGGGTGGGCGCCCTTTACGCACCCCGATATCACGATCAAGCCGCAGATCACTAGTTTCTGTCCAAAAAGTGGGCGCATCACGTTCAGCGATGGAAGTACCGTGGATGAAGTTGACACTGTCGTCTTTGCAACCGGTTATGACTTCAGCTTCCCATTCTTGCCCAAGCAGAAGGTGGAGAATAGACGAGTGCCGGGACTTTACCAGCATGTCTTCAATATCGACGACCCAACCCTTGCATTTGTTGGGATGGTACGTCTTGATTTCAGTAGAACTTCGTGCCTGGAGCTCATGTACTGACTCTATCGTGCAGGTCACGGGCGGCTTTACTTTCCGCGTCTTTGAGTGGCAAGCCGTTGCAGCGGCACGAGTCTTGGCGAGCCGCGGGAAATTGCCCCCTCGAATTGAGCAAGAAAAGTGGGAGAAGGAGAGGTTGAAGTACAAGGGTGATGGCATTCCCTTCTTCACTCTGTCGCCCGACTTCGAACAATACTTTGAAGCATTGCGGGCAATCGCCGGCGAGCCTGTGCAAGGAACTACAGGCAGATTGCTGCCAAAGTTCGACCCTAAATGGCTTGAAGCGTTTTCTGAAGTTATCAACGCCAGGGTTGAGTGGTGGAAGAAGGAGACAAAGAAGGCAGAAGAGCAATTAAAGCTTGAGTTTAAGTCGAAGCTGTAGGGTAAAAAATGTGGTATTATTAACTAATTAGGCTGTTTCAATCTTGTCGTGTTTTGAATGCGTCCATGCTAAGGTAAAACATGCGAGAAAGATTCCTTAATTGATGCTCGGTGCGGTAATCCACGTGCCCATTGAGATATCCTCTCACACTATCTTCCGAGGCGTCAACCTCACATTCAGAGGACCCTTCTTCCACAAACCAAACAGCTGTTGATCAGTCCAGTTCTTGCTGTCGTCTGCGACTTGCATGTCAAAGTTCCAGATGACTCTGGCAAGAATTACTCGCATTTCGGACATGGCCAGGCTGTAAAGGTCAAGTTAACACAAGTTTTGTGTCGTGCATCTTGTTTCAATGGCTTAACTTACTTCCGACCAATGCAGTTCCTAGGACCGAAAGAGAATGGCTGGAGAGCAGCTTTATCGTCGTTCTCGAAGCGGGAGTCTCCAAGCCATCTCTCGGGGATGAAAGATTCGGGCTCTGCGAAGTACTTATCGTTGTGGTACATGGGCCACTGGGAGACCATCACTCGCGTCTGTTGGCTTTTTGTCAGCAACGTGATCTGTTTAGATCTGCAGTTGTTTTGAAGACACTTACACCCGCCGGCACGAACCTTTCGCAGATGTAGTCGCCGCCCGGCTTGACAACTCGAGTGAGACCCATGGGTACGACTGGGTAAACGCGCATGCTCTCATCGAGGACTGCGAGCATGTAACGGAGTTTCTGAACACTGAGAACATCGATTTCTTGCTCTGAGTTGAATGATGTGCGGACTTCTTGTGCCAATTTGGCCATGGCTTCGGGATGCATCGTTAGGAAGTAAGTTACTCCTGAAAGCACAGATGCCGTTGTTTCTGAGCCTGCAATGATCAAGGTGTCTGCGGTTTGCTCAATTTCCGGCTTTGACATCGCCTAAACAAGTGTTTCGTTAGTTTCGGTACCCAGGGACAATGAGACATGCTAGGGACTACACGTACCAAAGGGCCCTCCTTCATCATCATAGACTGGACGAAGTCCGGCCTTGACTCGCCGAGTGCCATACGGCGTTGAACCTTCTCCTGGCTCATGTCATTGTGGAACTTTGTCTTGTTCTTCAACTCTTTCGGAATCAACCGCCTGGCAAATGGGCGTGTAATCCAGTATCGCTGGAACTGATTTCTCCATACACCGGCATGAATATTGTCGAAGATGATTGACACCCACGGGTGATAGTCTGAGTTCTCCAGACAACCAAAGGGCTCGCCAAAGGCCAGGTCACCAATGATGTCAAAAGTCGTCCAATTATACCACGAAACCATATTCAGCGCTTTCCCTCCGTCCTCACAGTTCTCATGAAGTCGCCGGATTAATAAGTCGATCTGAGCTTGAATCAGAGGTTGCTGATCGACCATGGCCTGAGCGGAAAATCCGTGGGCTAGAACGCGGCGAATACGCGCGTGATCCTCGCGGCCGGAGTTGATGATGCTGTGCGGCTTGTACCTAGCATTGACAGGGTCTTTGTAGTTCTCCATGCCACCACCGCCCTTGCTGTGGCCCATCAAGTCCTTGAAAGCCCGCGGGTCGGCCCAGTCGATTGTATCTGGGCCGAGCCTGACCACAGGTCCATATTGCTTGTGAAGCTCTGCCAGTCTCTTGTGAGCTTTACCGCTGGTGATCATTCGACTGAGCGGGATACGGGTAGCGGCGTGGAGCTTCGGCCCAGGGTAGTCTTTCAGTGGGTGGAAGTAAATGTTGTAAACCACCCTCGAGATCAGACGGAAAACACCCTGCATCAGCAATTAGCATGTGACGTCCTAGTATCAATGGCTCAATGCCGCGGTATCTACCAAAGCAAAGAGAACAATAGGCAATGCGACCGCCAGTCGTACATTGCCCAAGCTCGAGATATCGTGTGGAATAATCATGTTGAGTGCTGTAGTGTTGTCGGCACGCCGTCCTATGATTGATGACTTAGTTCTGACGATAAGAAAAGTCTTTCTGCCAATAGCTCCCCATTCTATTAGCAGGATGGCGAGCAGCTTATATCTGCCCAAATGCAGACGAACAACTTGTGCCCGGGTTCATGCTCGCCGAAGACGCGAAAGACACGTTTACGACCGGAGCCGAGCACGCCCCGGGGATGAACGGTGTAACCTCAAACCAATCGAAGCAACACGGCTTCCCGTCCGATGATCTCTGGTGACGTTATACTGGGCGATGTCGAGGCGGGGGAGCTGTGTTTGTTGGGGGCTTGAGCGTAGAACGGCATTTGGGATGGTGGGACGCCGCGTTTCATAGCGACACACATCTGACGGTGCCAGCCATGAGACCGCGGATTTCGGGATGCTGAAGGGTTCCGGGTATTGGTCCAATGTTTGTCCTTGCCTTATTCATTCGACTCGTCGAACGTCTTCAGTGTTTGGTGTTGGTACGAGCGAGGGTGCGAATGCGAATGCTGAAATACGATGTGTGTGGCAAGAGCCGTTTGGGGACAGGATTGCATTGATGTGGACGCGAGTCGTTTAGATGACAGCTCCTTACGCCGCGGACGACGGAGAGCTCGATGATTTTCAGGGTCGTGGACTTGCGGCCCCCCGGACGAGCGTTGCCGATGCAGCACGGAGTGCATATGCAAGGGCACGGCGCGGGTTTGGGAGAGAAGTCAAACTCTCCGCCGGCGGGAATTGGAGATTTCTTCGGCGCCGAATAGTCTTCTCCGTGACACCGATGCTCGGGTTGCTAGAGAGCTACAGTGTGTGGCAACGTTGCCGACTGGTGTCAAGATCGGCAAGGTTGTGCCACCATCACAAAGTTGTGTTCAGCTGAGGCGATGTTAACTGCTAATGCTCGTTGTAAGTTACGCGGACCGGCGGCTGATATGTCCAGTGTAACTCACCCTAAAAGGCGTTTACATGTTGGCAATGCGACGCCTCTTTGAGCACGGCTAAGGCCGTCCACATGGAGAGTTCAGTCGAGCCGCCATAATACCTACTGTGTAGACCATCGCACTTTGATAACTCCATACGGTAGGAGGTAATAGATCCACTGAAAGGCCGCTTGTATTGTGGCCCTTGGAATGTGGCTCGGTGTCAAATTGTCAGAGTTTAGTGGCGGATTTGCCTGCCGTTATATTTTAGCTCGAGACTGAAGGTTTGTCGGGGAGGTTCCCTTGAATTTAAGGGTTCTGAAAAGACCCGAACACTGTCGTGATCTAACCTAGAATGTTCAGTTAGCTGATGAATATCGGAAAATGTATCGTCAGATGCTAGACTGTGGCCACCTGAGAGTCTCTGCAACTTCTATTCGCATCACTTACCCCCAGCAATTTCAATTCTCAGTCTCAGGCTCGCTAAGGTGACAATTATGGGCGCTATGGCCAGTTGATCCTGGCAGGGAATGCTGCTGACTACACAGCATCAATCAACAGACCCATGAGCTCTTCTCAACACTTGACAGCTTGGCGACACGTGATGAGACACTTCCAGATTCATCGCAATCTCAGGGGGTTCGCAATCCTCGGATACGAGGTCTCGATAGGGAGTAGCCTCAACGATAGTCCGCTTCTTCGTCTTTTCATCGACACTCGCTGGAAGTCATAACCACAAGTCTCGTACCAGCGAGCTGTGAAGGGCTTCCCCAGGAACATTGCGTCCCCGCAGCATTCAAGAGGATCTGAGTGACCGGCAACGCCGGCCCAAGAGTCATGGAGACCGCTTTCAAGCGCAAACCCCTGCCGGGCCCTCCGCCAGGTCCGCCGCCGCCTCCGGATTTCGACCCCTTTCCCCAACGTCAACGCCCTCTCCGCGCCGCTCGGTCGACGCCAAACATTCGGCAGTCTGTAGCGACATCAATCTACGATCCACCGCCAGCGTATGAGGAGTTCCCTGGAGTCGACGCTAACGGTCGCCTGGCTTTCGCCGCTCCTGTACCGGACTTCAGACCTGGGAGGATTCCATCGCCAGGTCCTGCAATCCCAGCACCACACTTTTCTCCCAGTGTTTCTCCCGTTGCTGCTCACAAAGATTACCTACCTTATCGACCATCACCATCGCCATCACCGTCGCTTGTAGCAGGTGGTAAGGACTCGCCCGCGCCGTCCATTCCAGGGCCATCCTTTCCTGGCCCTTCAACAGCCCAAACGTTTCCGGTGGCAGGTCATCGTCCTTCTCCATCGCCCACACCGTCTAGCCCTGGATCTTTCGTCCCTGGTCCTCCCGCAACAGCAGAGACGTTTCCACTGGCATATCGACCCCCTATATCACCCAATTACACCCCATCAGAAACCGTATCAACAGAGTCTCAATTGAAAGAAAAGACTTTCTGGCAAACCGCCCTAGACGAGACAAAGTATTTCGCGGGCGGGCTGATAAGTCATCCGTTCGAGTACACCAAGCATTACTCCATCCTCCGCCACTCGGGCGCGCTCGTATGGTACCGCGGCCCCTCAACCTCCATCACCATCACAATCTTCTCCGATGCTCCTCTGCCACCAACCCGGACAGTATGGCTGCAGCAGAAGGGCTTCTCAGGCAACATGGGCATGAACCTGAAGTCTCTGGTTGGCGCAAACACATCATGGCTCGACGTGACGCCTTCTATGCAGGGGACACCCGCGGCCATGACCGAGGGCGATGAGAGGGGCTGTCAGCGCGACTTGAAGAAGTTTCTCAAAAAGGCACCCAAGAATCTGGCAAAGCATATGCCCAGAGAGACACACGTCGTGCGCATACCCGCGGCCGCCGATGATGGGTACTTCCGGCTCGTGCTATGCACTGGAGGCGGTGGTGACGGGGGCAAGAGGAAGGTTCTTTGCCCAAGCCCCGTCTTCCGTGTTGCGAGTACGTCTACGGATATGAGTGTTACACGCGGCGCGAGCTTTGCCAGCATGCCTCTGGAGCTAGGGATCAAGGCCGGGTCTGTCGTAGCCACGACTGTCGTCAATAGGTACATCGGACCAGCTGCCGCTGTGGTCCAGTCTAGAACGAAGAAGATCTCGCAAGCAAAGTTTGTGACGAAGCACGCC